ATCTTTGGCTATGTGTATTTTCACCAAAAAAAAAAAGGTTGAGAAGTTAGAGGGTTGATATGTTGTGGGGTTGTTAAGCAATGTCATAAAACAATATGTGTACTTCTGTTTCATGAGAAACTATTTGTTCTGTAAGCCTTCACCTGAAGTACAATAAAAAAAGAAGAAAAAAAAAAGGATACTATATAATAACTAAGTATGATCTATTCCAGGAACATCAGGTTGGTTTTTAACATTGCAAAGTCAATAAATGTAATTAACCATCTTAAAAAAAAAAAAAAAAAGAATTATGAAAAACCTGGAGGAAGTGACATCTAAGCTGAGACCTAAAGGGTAAAAGGAGTTAAGCAGGCTAGATAGCAAAAAGGTAGTGGTGAATAGTGAAAACGCAGAGGGTGGTGGTCCAGGCAGAAGAGAAGGAATGCATGGAGATCTAACAGAAAGAGGGCTTAAAAAAAAAAAAATAAGTGTGGCTGCATGCACAATTAGGGCTGGGAGCTATCGATAGCAAGGGACAGGGACCAGATAATAAAGGGGCTTGGTCATTCATTCATTCACCCCAAATTTATTGATACATGTGCCCATGATTATTTTAGTGCTGGATTTATAATGGTGAGCAAGGTAGAAGCAGTGTCTGCCTTTGCTAAGCTTAAATTTTAGCTAGGAAGACAAATAAACCAAACCAAACCATACCCGTTGCTATCGAATCCATTCTCACTCATGCGACCCTATAGGACAGAGTAGAACTTAGAACTGCCCCCACAGGGTTTCCAAGGCTGTAAAATCTTTACAGGAGCAGACTGCCACATCTTTCTCCCGTGGAGTGGCCTGTGGGTTCAAACCACCGACCTTTCAGTTAACAGCTGAGCGCTTAACCACTGTGCCACTAGGGCTCCCAGAAGACAAATGGGTAACAACAATAAAAGATGATAAGTACTGTGAGAGAGGAAGTAAGAATACATAGCTGGTACACTCAATCTAATTTAGAAAGGCTTAAGTATACATTTGTGGTCAAAATGATTATTTAGTTGAACCTGAAGAGTGAGTAGAATTAACACAGGGAACCAGAGGAAGAAGAGAGTTCTAGCAAAAGGAATGGCGTGTGAGAAGGCCTGGAGGTGAAAGAGTAGTATTTGGTTAAATGAAAGACATTAATTAAGACTGGTTTGGGAGGGAGTAGATGACACAGAAGAGGTAGATTGAGACCAGTCACTAAAGGCTTTGTTAACTCCTCCAAATGCATGCTTCATTCTAAGGCATGGGAAGCCATTCCAGGGATAGCACTTTATAGTGGATCCCCTTGCTTGAAATTTGATTCTAGTCTTGCGCCATCCATGAAAGTCAGTTTCAGGTGAATTACAGATTTAAATATGATAGGCAATCAACAAATCATCTAGAAGATAACTCAGGAGAATATCATTATGTCCTGGAGATAAGCGAAGTTTTCTCAACACAACTCAAAAAAGACTAACGATAAAGAAAATGATTGATAAATTTGACTAGATTAAAATTAAGAATTTCTATCCATTAAGCCCTGGAGGTGAAGTGGTTAAGAGCTCAGCTGCTAACCAAAAGGTCGGCAGTTTGAATCCACCAGCGGCTCCTTGAAAGCCCTGTGGGGCAGTTCTACTTTGTCCTATAGGGTCGCTGTAAGTCGGAATTGACCCAACAGCAAAGGATTTGTTTTTGTTTTTTTTTTTTTTGAAAGAGGTCAAAAGGGAACCCAGAGTGGGAGATCATATTTGCAACATATATATTTGACAAAGGGCTCACATTCAGAATATATAAAGAGCGTCTAGAAATCAACAGAAAAAATGCTGACAATGCAATAAAGAAATGAACAAGAACTTAAACAGGGATTTCACAAACTAGAATATCCAAAAGACCAATAATCACGTGAAAACATGTTTAAACTCAGTAGTAACCAGGGAAATACAGATTGCTGCTGTTCTTGCTAAAGTTTAGTAGTTGTTCTTGAATAAAAACACTTTTCAGTTTTTTATTTGCCAGAACCCTGAAATGATTGTTTTTGACATGTGTTTTCAGTTTTATTATTGCTTTTTAGGTACAGGATTTTCTGAGTTCCTCACTCAGCCATTCCAGAAGTTGTTATCCCCATTTTAAAGGTGGGGAAATTAAGGCTGGAGAGGCTGTGTATGTTGCCCAAGCTCATACAGCCAGGCAATGGTGCAGCCAAGGTCAGGTTTGGACAATCTTCACTGATAGAATCTTTATCTACTTCGGATAACATAGAGTCTATTCTCCCCAGCGCTTCCGTCATTTTTGGGCAATAAAAGACAATTAGAGGCATTATTTATATTATTATTTATTATTATTATTATTTTATATATTTTTTCACAGATAAAATATTCCATAGGATTTTTCCTGCTACTTCCCAGTTCCCTTTAGGAAGAAGGGTAGAGAATCAGACCATGTACAACATATCATACCTGATGAAATGAAAATTGTAATAAATAGAAAGTGGCTAGTTTTTGTTTGTTTGTTTACTACATGAGATCCTCCAACATGAGAACATCTTGGAGTCTATTTAGTGCGTCTATCTAAGGAGTCCTGGTGGCACAGTAGTTAAGCACTCAGCTGCTAACCGAAAGGTCAGCAGTTCGAACCCATCAACCACTCCGTGGGAGAAAGATGTGGCAGTCTGCTCCCTTAAAGATTACAGCCTTGGAAACCCTTTTGGGCAGTTCTACCCTGCCCTATAGGTTCGCTACGAGTTGGAATTGACTCATTTGTAATGGGTACTAACAATCTACTGCAAATTTGAAATATCCTCAAATACAAAATGAAGTATGTGTTTAAAAATTAACACTAGTTTGGATTATTTTTGTAATACAGTTTCAAGTGCTATTTTTATGACCATAGGATTAATCTAAACGTTGACAGAAATGTAGGTATTACTACTAAATTACATTTTTCTCTGTGGTTTGAAATGACATTTCCATTCTCCTATGTCTGCAGTTTCTTTTGCAGTAGGTATCTCTACTGTTAGCAGAGGAGAGTATAGTTACCTGAAGCAAACACTGACCTCTGTTGTGTCCAGGATGACTCTTGCAGAAGAGAGGAACTCTGTGGTGATTGTCTCTGTTGCAGATGTATGTATGAAAACTAAGTATCTCTCCTTAATCCTGACCTATACTCTCCAAATCCCCTTCCTCAGTGGTAATCACTGCACCATTTTGAAAAATATTTTTTAAATTTAGGAAGGAATTCATAGATGCCTTTTTGGATAGCAGACAATATACTTGTTTGACACCATTAAGAAAGAATTAAGTATGTAAATCTAAAAGGAACATAGAATGGTTTACTGTGGAGAAAATGAGATTGCTAAATTTTATTTGTATTTAATATAGGAACCTTGAATACCATATGGCTAAAAAAATTGTATTTACAAAAAGAATATTAAAACTGATACTTTAGTAATAAAACCTGACTAGCCCAGTAAAAAGCTGGTACACGAATCAGGAGGTAATTAAGTTTTAGTAACTGTCATTTTTTTGAGGGACTTCTATGTCTGAGGTACTGTGGAAGATCTTTATATATGTTACTTATAACCTGCATTGCATCCTATAAAGTAGGTATTATTTTATAGATGAAAAAACTAAAGTGAAAAGAAAGTAACTTGTCCGGTAATTAATGGAACTGGATTCAAATTCAGGTCTCTGGATGGCTCCAAAACCTTCGACCTTGCCTGTAAGGCCATGTAAAATTATAAAGTACTGTATAAATATTAGCACTAGAGGGGGTTTTGGAGGGAAAATTCGACAACATGTATCAAATTTAAAATGTTCATATCCTTTGTCTCAGAAATCCCAATTCTGGGAATTTAGCCTAAGGATATAATCAGGCAAATATGGAAGTTCAGAACGCAGACTCTGCATCTAGATTGTCATGGTTCAAATGGCAGCTTCTTCGCTTCCTGGCTTGTGAACTTGAGCAAGTTACTTCTCTATGCCTCACTTTCCTTATCTGTAAAATACTAATGATAAGATTACTTATGTCATAGGCTTGTTTTGGGGATTAAATTAGCTAGTATATTTAAAGTATTCAGGATGAATAGTAAGTGTATAATAGTAAGTGTTCAATAAGTAATTGTTCCAAGGATGTTCAGTGTACTATTGCTTTATAAAAGTGTAATGTTGTAAACAACTAAAATATCCATCAATAAGAGCCTGATTAAATACTTTATTATGTGTGTCTATAATACAATAGGAAACCCTGGTGGTGTAGTAGTTAAGAGCTACGGCTGCTAACCAAAAGGTCGGCAGTTTGAATCTACCAGGTGCTCTTTGGAAACCCTATGGAAGCAGTTCTACTCTGTCCTGTTGGGTCACTATGAGTCGGAATCAACTCTATGGCAACGTTTTTTTTAATAGTACAATATTCTGTAGCCTTTGAAAGGAGAATATATTCACTGATATAAAATGATGTCCAAATCATATTGTTGAGTGAAAAAAAGTTGCAAAACTTCCCCTTTAACCTATATTATCTATGTAAAATGAGAAATGGAAGGAGAGAGGGAGGAAAGGAGGGAGGGAAAAAAGGAAAGAAGAAAATAAGAAAGGATAGAAAGAAGGAAGATCTTTCCCTCTCTCTACCTAAAAAAAAAAAAAAAGAATGAGCAAACCTTGGAATGATGGTCTCCAAAATATAAATCATGCTTATCTCTGGGTGCTGGGAGTTGGAGGGCTCTTTGTTTTTCCTTTCTTTATTCTTTGAATTTTTTATAGTAAATACGTATTTGAAAAGAATAAGCAATAGAAGAACTAATAGGAATATATAAATAAAACATTAAACAATTGTCTCATGATTTCATTTCTTGAAATTGGAAGCATAGTCTCTACAATATGCTGTCACATTTCCTTATGTTACATATTTACAGAGCCACACTACTGACACACGTTTGCCGGAAACTTCTGGATCAATAAGAAAATATTGGGGGACACATTTAAAAATGGAATATAGAATGTTTAAGAAGTATAATTTTGGTGTTATGTTTAAAATATGCTTCAGTGTGTATCAGCTAGCGATTCAGTTTATGGTTATAAGAAACTTAAGTATGATAATAGATCTATATCATGACTGATATTTTTAAACAAACAGCCTGACTATATGCATTCAGAGTTGCCTTTGGGAGTACTCAGATTTGATAGTGAAACCGTCATTGCTCAAAATCTTTTCAGAATTTTATATTGAAAATGCTTATAGGCCTTGAGGCTACATCTTGTAAACGTTAACAGTTATGTAAAAAAAAATATATATATATATATCCTGAGGGTAAATTGTCGAAAATTATTTACAGATGAGTCTGGCATCTAATCTAGCGCGTTTGATCAAGAGTAAATACACGAAGTCTGTTGACTGAAGAAAATTTGGTAGTCAAGCTGAGTAATATTATCTGGAAAAATGTGGTGTAATTTTGAAGTAGTCTCATTATATATATAATATTCATAAAGTAAAGACGTTTTCAAAAACAGTTGTTCTTTAAAATAAGTCATCCCAAGAAATACTTTTAAGGTGAAACTTTTTTAGATACACAGATGTTGTGCTTTTTAAATTTTTTTATGTATTTTTATTGTATTTCTATTTTTTAAATGTAAATAATGTATAGTAATATTTCATATCCTGACAAAGGAAGAAGAATGAAATATTTACTGTATTGCAGTCAGATTGTTTCTTAACAAATAGATATTTTAAATTCTTTCATGAAAAGTGAAAACACTAGAAACTATTAAGACATAATGGCATTCCATACATAAATTAGATTTACATGTAGCAAAAATGTATTAGTAAAACTACCAGGCATGTTTACTTTGAGTAAAATATTTTTTTTCTTATTTTTAGAGTAATGAAGAATATTTAAATTCTGTTGTTAAGATGATTAAAAAGAAGTAAGTACTGTCTGATAAATTTTAAAATTAACTGTTCTTTCATATTCTTAGCCTAATTTTTCTATCCAGTTGCATTATTATTTTACTAGCAATCATATTCTTTTCAATGAGTATAGCTGTGCAAAAAGAACCTGTAGTTCTTTCTGAGCTGTGATCAAGTATAGCTTAGACTTTCCACAAATTCATAGGTTATCCACCTATTAGAAACCAGTTTTTTCATGTTATGATTGTTATAATGTCTATCCTCCACGAAATCCATTGCCTCTGAGAGATGCCTGCTAAATTATTTTGAAATTTTTCTTCTGTTACTTAACTGTAGGAAGTTACTTTACCACTTCTGCTTACATTCTCCCTTTGCTCAGTGCAGCCCAGGGGAGGTGAGATGCAAACACGTAGTGAAGAGTTAATATGAAATTATTTATCAACTAAGATGCTGTGGATGCATATGGAGCACGCTCAGTTTTCCAAAAACTTATGTTCAAACATACATAAAGGGCCCAGCCTTCCAAATCCTGTGTTCAAGAGGGTGATATTAATTGTCAAAAATAAATCACAGCAAGAAGGCAGTGTTATCCAAGTGGTTTGGTAAGGCAATACGAGAACAGATAGAGGACAAAGTATTTAACTCTACCTGTAGATGTCATGAAGGGCTTTCTGGAAGAGGTAATATTTGAGCTGCACCTAAAAGTTATATGTAGTCATTCACCAGGCAGACAAGAGGAGAAAAGGCATGCCAGGCAAACAGAATTGCTTGGGAAGGCAGAGAGGCAAAAAGGGGAGTGTAGTGAGTTGAATGGTGGCCCCCAGCAAGGTATGTCCCCATGTCCTAATTCCCAGAACCTGGAAATGTTACCTTACTTAGAAAATGGGTCTTTGCAGATGTCTTGAGATTAAGAAGATTATCCTGTATTATCAGGGTGGGCCCTAAATCAATGGCCAAAACCAAAAACCACACCGGTTGTATTGACTTGATTCCGACTCATAGTGACCCCACGCATTATAGAATAGAACTGCCCTCCGTAGAGTTTTCAGTGGCAGATTTGTAGGAAATAGATCCAAAAAATCACCTTCCCAGGAGCCTCTGGGTGAATTCAAATGACAGCCTTTAAGTTAGTAGACAAGCACTGAACTATTTGTGCCACCCAGGGACTCCTAATCCAGTGATAAGTGTCCTTATAAGAGACATGGGAGAGATTTGACAACAGAAGAGGAAAAAGTGATGAGACCATGGGCAGAGATTGCTGTGATGCAGCCACAGTCAAGGAATGCCAACAGCTACCAGAGGCTGGAAGAGGCAAAGAATAATATGTCCCCTGTGATTGCAGAAGTTAGCATGACCCTACCAGAAGCTAGCTGGCATGCGAGCCTGGGAGTGTGGTTTGCAGTCTTCCAGCCCCCTACAATAATAGCAGAGCAGAAGTGTGAGAATGTAGGCTAAGAGCAAATAGGCAATCAGCAGAGAAGGGATCGAGTTACCCCACTGAACATGTGGTCAATCTCAGTATCACTTAAAGTTAGACAATCAAGCATTTCGTGCCTCCTGTTATGATGCAAATGAAATACATACTAACTATAGGAATTCTTGCCCTACCCCACCCCTCAAAAAAAAAAAAAAAAAAAATTGAACCTGAATCTTACCAGGCATTTAAAGCTAAATTCCAGTTTGCAGGATACACAGGGAGTAGAGGAAGCAATTTGAAGCAAACCACCAGAATGTGGGACATGCTATAGGACAACTGATCCAATTTCTTCAACAAGACTAAAGAAAAAGGTGACTAGTCTAGACAATAAGTTTAAAAGAGAAGAAATAAAACAACTATTACTATTAGTGTATCTTGTTTGGATCCTCATTTGAACCCTCTCCTCCCAATTTATAATTTTTAGACACGGGGAAATTTGAGTATCAACTGAGTATTATGTAATTAAGTAGTCCCCGGGTGGTGCAAATGGTTAAACACTCAGCTACTGAAAGGTTGGTGGTTCCAATCCATCCAGAGATGCCTAGGAAAAAAGGCCTGGTGATCTGCTTCTGAAAGAGCACAGCCATTGGAAACCTGTATGGAGCACATTTCTATTCTGACACACACGGGGTCACCATGAGTCCAAATCAATGGACAGCAACTTTTTTTTTTTAACATGATTAAATAGTTGTTTTTAGTTTTATAAGATGTGATAATGACATTTTGGTTATCTAAATAATGTCCTTTTATGATACACTGAAGTATTTAAGGGTGAAATGATACAGTATCTAGAATTTGTTTTAAATTATTTCTGAAAAAACCTGGGCCACATAGGTGAAACAACTGTGGCAAAAAAGGAATGGTTGTTGAAACCAAGTGATTTGGAGTTTGTTGCATTTCTACTTTTATGCATGTTTCATAATTTTCATAATAAAAATTTAAATAATTGTAGACTGCTTTTTCAATAGCTTAACTGAGAGAAAAGTCAAAACATGCTAACTTAAGGGAAAAATAGTGTCTAAGGAGGTTTCAAGATGGGAGAAACTTGAATATTTTTAGTAGTGGTTAAGAGCTTGGCTCTTAACCAAATGGTGGGCAGTTGGAGTCCACCAGCCAATCCTTGGAAATCCTATGGGACAGTTCTACTCTGTCCTGTAGGGTTGCTATGAGTCAGAATCAACTCGGTGGCAATGGGCTTGGGCTTGGCCAGTAGAGAGGAGGAGCCATGGTGGTGCAGTGGTTAAGTGTTCACCTGGAACCAAAAGGTTGGCAGTTTGATTCCATCAGCCACTCACTGAAAACCCTATGGGGCAGATCTGCTCTGTTCTGTAGGGTCGCTATGAGTCGGAATTGACCTGATGGCAATGGGTTTGGGTTTCTTGTTTGTTTGTTTTAGTAGAGAGGGAAGAAGCTGATGGAACAAGGTCTGTGAGGGAATTAGATGCAAGGTACAGAGAGAACAAGGAGCTTTTGACAGGACTAAAATTACAGACCTCATTAAAATGTTAAAAGACCTCTTTAAAGTGTTAAAAAGCAAAAAAAAGTCACATTGATGACTAACATGCATCTGACCCAAGCCATGGTAGTTTCAGTTGTCGCATATGCATGTGAAAACTGGACAAAGAATAAGGAAGACCGAAGAAGAATTGATGCATTTGAATTATGGTGTTAGTGAAAAATATTGAATATACAGTGAACTGCCAGAAAAACAAACAAATTTGTCTAGGAAGAAGTACAGCCAGACTGCTTCTTAGAAGCAAGGATGGTGAGACTTAGTCTCACTTACTTTGGGCATGTTATCAGGAGGTATCAGTCCCTGGTGAAGGACATCATGCTTGGTAAAGTAGAGGGTCAGTGAAAAAGAGGAAGACCTTCAATGAGATGGATTGACACAGTGGCTGCAACAATGGGCTCAAACATTAGCAAATATTGTCAGGATGGCACAGGCCTGGGCAGTGTTTCCTTCTGTTGTACGTAGGGTCACTGTGAGAACAACAAGATTACAGAAAAGAGATAAGAAGCAGTGAAAGAGTAGTAAAATTAATTTGTTCAGGGAATGAGAGTGAAATGAATGAGTCCCCTCAAGGGTTTCTTTTTTCTCTGTGAAGTAGATAAGATCATATGCTGAGAATAAGGGTTTTTTGGCAGTAAAGGAACTTGAAGACAGTCATGAAGGCTTGTAATGGATGATGAATGTAAAGTGAGAGGGGGTTGGCCAAGATGAAATAAAACATTATATGTAAGTCTAGTTCTCCCCCAAAAAGATTCCCCAGAAAAGGTTGCCTTATATTGAGTCCTTAAAATCTTTTCATATTCCAGGATACCTCTCAGGTATTTATGATGAGTGATACTATTCGGGGAAGATACATTAGCCTGAAATGACCTCAATCTATGCTACTTCAGTATCCTTATAGAAGATTCTTAACAGAATCAGTTAAAAAGAAGGCAGAGGTTTACAAATGATTCCTGGGGATATGATCTAATAATTAAAACCCTTTTGAAGATCACTTTAAAAAATATATGGGTTACTTGTGGCAATCACAAGTGAAAATAAAAATTGCTTAATGTATGAGAATACTTGTGATTTGCTATAAAATTTTCAGAGGGAATGTCACTGATTTCAGAAATTGCTGTATTTAGATTGAAGATCAAGTGCACTGCAAAATAGATAACTCAAAAAGTGATTTTAGTGATGATAATGGTATTGATGTTAACAGTACAGATGAAGAGTTAGCTTAAAATTGTTCTATTATTTGCTAGAGAGGAAAATAGAAATAATTTAAAATGAACATGTTATAGAATATTCAATTTAAGTATGTGATTGTATCTAACTTTTTCATTTGCATACCTAAATTTTATATATTTAATTTGGCCAAAAATCCTTTCTCTAGGTCTTCTCTTTGGAATAACGAGGGATGGTTCTACATTTGGATTGGCCCTAAATTTGAGAATACATGGTAATTTTAAAGGACTCAACTATAGTTATATATAACCTGTGGTGAAATGAGTTCCTTTATACGGCCTTTAGCTTGGTTCTTTCCCCCTAAATCCTGAGGTGTTACCTTTGCCCTATTTTCTACCCCAGAGGGTTTGTTACGTTTTCTAAGTAAGCTGTAAACAAGGATGGTTTGATGCTTTTTGCCTGGCCCTGGGCTGCAGCCTGCCCTGTGATAGGTATGCACCTTGTAGGGATTGATCAATAGACCATGTGAATGAAGTTACTGTGGACTCTGTAAATGAGGTGACTATTGCCTGCTCTGCAAATGAAGTGTCTGTGGCCTATGGAGAGGGGATTGGTTAGCTTGTGACCCCTGGTGGGGCATCCCTTGAAATTGACAAGGAGTTTTATATACAAGCAGGCAGCCCCACAGAGGTTTAGCAGACAGAAAGAAGCAGGAAGAGAAGCAGCAGGAAGCAGCAGCAGCAGAGAGAGAGAGAGAGAAGGCAAGGAATCTCTTAAAAGAGCTGTAACACGGCCTGTCCTGATGGGGCTGAGAGGAGCCAGTCCTCAGGGAGCTGAAAGGAGGCTTGCATGGCCCAGAGGAGCTGAGAGAGCTGTCCTGCACGGAATAAGGGAGATTTTGCGTGCTTCCTGATCCTGATCCCGAGTCGTACCCCATTATTTCCTTAATAAGCCACTTAATTGCAAGTACAGTTCATGGGTTCTGTGAGAAGTTGCAGCAAATAACCAAATCCAAATGGGGGCGGGAAGAGTGCTAAGGAGAGGGAGAGTGGCCCGTGTCAGAGATGGAGTGGTGCAGCACTTTGGAGAATGTGGAACTCTGAGATATATTTGACCTCTGCCTCATAGGAATTGGTTTTGTGCTGATTCTTATATTTGAAATTATTCGTACAATAACCATATATGAAACTATGTACTTTATGTAAATCTGTGTAGCTGTAAAGGAGCCCTGGTGGCACAGTGGTTAAAGTGCTCGGGTAATAACTGAAAGGTTGGGGATTCGAACTCACTAGCCACTCCGAAGGAGAAAGATGTGGCAGTCTGCTTCTGTAAACATTTCAGCCCTGGAACCTCTATGGGGCAGTTCTGCTCTGTCCGGTAGGGTCGCTATGAGTCAGAATCGACTCGATGGCAGTGTCATGACGTATCTCTGAGAGTTCCGTTTATGTGAAGTTTTTGCCAGTGTTACGTCCTGTGGCACATCCGTTTTCTCACAATCCCTTTCGTCATTTAAGCTGCTAAGTCCACTTTCACCAAGTGCCTGTGGTGTGTGTCTGGAGCCTCTTGAACAGCAGCATTGTCAACACTCCCATGGTCAGCTGCCTCCCAAGCACATCCAGTTTCACTTCCAGCATTACCACTTTCGTCTCTTGTTTCATCCCTCTTTTGATTATCCATTTTTGTAAAATGTGGCGTGGGTTTGTTTATCACTGGGAGACAAGAAGGCAACACAACTACACACTTTACTGTCTGTGAGTGAAGTTAATAACAGATGCACAGTTAGCAATCACCAGCAGACATAGAAAGAAGTACTGTGATTAGTCACTGATTGTGATGATGTGCATCTGTTATTTATGCAGTGATTTACGGACTGGAGCTAGCAGTGAAGTTTGTAGTTTATGTAATTATTCACAGTGAAGTTACCACAGTGACTAAAATTTAAACAATGTTGTTGGGGGACTGATATGATACTATTTAAATCACTGTGACTGAAATTTGTGCCTATTGGAATCATGCAAAGGGAGGACTGCCTGCTTTGCACATAATTGAGATCTTGCATATTTAACTCTTATGTCCTGCTTTTTCACCTAATAGTATAAGACAGATATTTCCTTGAGACTATAACATTTTGATAAATAATGTAATACCTAAATTTAAATCTCATTTAAAGTTATATTATTTATCTCTAAACGAAGGCATTTAAAATGCTCTGCTTAGTCTCCCATCCTGTACCGTGATGGTACAGGAGGTTTATATTCAGCCTTATGAACAGTATTTTATATATTGTGATGATGTCCTCTTGGTCTGTAAATAATAACTTTTAAAAATAAAGCTGCTAAAGTATACATAGTTCTTCTGTGACTGTGGACAAGGGTTAGACTTAATCCTTGCTTGCTGAGGTAGTCCACTTTCAGGAGCCACATTGCTATTTAGTAGGACTCTTATTAAACTCAAAATTATGCATTTAAAAATGACCTAATGTTCTTGTTCTCTTGCAGTTAGTTACTATATCATCATAACCCATTAACTCCATTATTTTGGATCTGTCAGAGTACATATCTAATTAAAAACTTTCTCAAAAAATTCAGAGTACCTATAATTTTTATGAGAGGAAATTAATTGATATATTATATTTTAATGGTTTTATATGCCTGTCTTTAATTTATAAGAGAAATACTTTGGCTAAAAAGTATTAGTTTTATAATGTTGATATTATATATTAGCATGTAGAATAATTCAAATCAAAATATTTTGTGGACATGGATAGGGGAATTCTTTTAAAGCATTTCTGTTACTTTGGTAAATCAAATAGTCAATTACAAGCCTCCATTGAACTTCTGTTTATAGATTCAAAAGGCAAGTGATGTCCGGATCCTTAGAGGTCATTTCAATACCAACCTTTTTTTATCCCAACATGTTAAATGGCAAGCAAACAACTGAGGAATCACCAAATAGCATGAGGTATGACATATTAGCAAATAATATCCTTAAATAACAAACTTCATCTGGGGAAATATAGGAATCGGCATCTAATAGATACTATTTCAAATACAGTAGTGTGCTGAAGCCAGCTCCTGCTGCCTTATAAGAGCTGATTGTGTGCATTGCTTCCCATCTCTGTCTTCAGTGATACCGGGTTCATAGCATGAAATTGGCCATCGTAGGAGGATTTGCACCATGGAAATGGACAGAAGTTACAAATCAGGGCCTTACCCCCACCCTGGAGAGCCAGTCGTTAAACATTGACCAGCACACCACTGATAATCTATATTCACATGTATACTGACAACAGTTAGCAAAGGCACAATGAAAGAAAAAACAAAAAAACTTTGGATTATGAATCATTACACCTGTATTCTAGTCCCAGCTTTTCAGTTCGCTGCTCATTGTAAGCAGATAACTTAGCCTTTTTTTTTTTCCCCTTAGTTTCCTCAACTTTCCAGTGTGTATAATAAAATCTACATTATGTATCTGGAAAAGCCCTTGTGATAATAAAATATGATAGTATTTATGAAAGAACTTTGAAGAATTAAAAGCTCTATACACATACAAAGAATTATTATTGTTTGGTTGTAAATGTGGTAGATTTATGAGGAATGTAATAATTTGATTCCTTAAAATACTGTGAGAAAGACATGCCAGATTGCAGGAAAAAAAGGTCTTACCCGAGGAAACCTTCTACCTTTGTTTTGTTTTTAAATTTTGAGTGGCATGTCAGAATCTAGAGCTCTCCTGAAGGAGTTTTGTTATGTTTTTAATTAATGGCTTCACATTATACCCTGTTCTTTGAGTCATAGCTGTGAGTCATCCAAAACTCTGCTTTTTCCTTCAGCCCTTTATATGTCTATCATCAGTCCTTTTTTTTGGCGAGTGGGCAGTGGTGTTCAGGTTGTATATTTGAGTTTGTTGTTGTTGGTTTCCATCAAGTTGATTCCAACTCATGGCGACCCCATATGACAGAGTAGAACGGCCCCATAGGGATTTTTGTTGTTGTTGTTGTTGAGAATATACACAGCAAAACATACACCAGTTCAACCGTTTCTACATGTACCATTTAGTGACACTGATTATGTTCTTTGAGTTGTGCAACAATTCTCACCCTCCTTTTCTGATTTGTTCCTCCCCCATTAAATAAACTTACTGCCCCCTAAGATTCCTATCTAATCTTTTCAGTTGCTAGTGTCAATTTGATCCCATATAGATGGTTCTTAGAAGAGCATAATGTTCAAGGTAGACTTCTTTGTTACTAGTTAAGCTAAACTACTGTTTGATTTTAAGAAGACTTCAGGGGATATTTTTGGTTTAAGGTTTAAAAATTATCTCGGGCAGTAGTTTCAGGGGTTCATCCAACCTTCATGGCACCAGGAAATCTGGAGTCCATGAAATTTGAAATTCTGTTCTGCATTTTTCCCCTTTTGATCAGGATTCTTCTATGGAGTCTTTGATCATAATGTTTAGTAATGGTAACTGGGCACCATCCATTTCTTCTAGTCTCGTGGCAAAGGAAGCAGTTGTTCATGGAGTCTGTTAGCTACACATTCCATCTCCTCCTCCTATTCCTGGCTCTCCTTCTTCCTCTGTTGTTCTAGGTGAACAGTGACCAGTTGTTGTGCCTTGGATGGCTATTTGCAAGCTTTTAAAACCCCAGACACTACGCAAAGAGCTAGGAGGTAGAACAGAAGCACTAAACATGTTATTAGGCCAATTAACTGGGATGTGCCATGACCAGTCCACGGTCTTGGACTTAGTTCAAGCCTTCTTTATTACGGATCTACTTGTTCTCCCTAATTCTAGCCTGAAGGATGGCGCAGGACCAGGTCTGTTATACATAAGGTCACCATGAGTTCGAGCGAACTCAACAGCAGCTAACAACAGTAATCCTAGGCTAGCCTAGCCTGTCCTCCTCCTCTCCATAGTGTAGCCAGGAGAATCTTTTTTCAGATGAGATCAAGTCCAAAGTTCCCCACATGTCATAAAAGACCCTTCATGATCTGGTCTCTGCCAGCCTTGCCATCATCTTCTATCTGGCTTTTTCAATCAGCTCTCTGTGCTCTAAAACTAAAGTAGCAGGTTCTTTCATGTGTCATGCCTTTGCAGATACTGCCCCCTGCATTGAATGCCCTAATTCCTTCTGCTCTCCCTCCCAGCTAATTATAAGATGGTCATTATTGTTAATATCTAACTGTTCTAATTTAATTACTTTTCTGTCTTTCCATACTAGACCATGAGGCCCGGCTGGGCAAGTACTGCATTGTGTATTGATTGTTCTTTGTATCCTCAGGACCTGGCCTACTGTCTAGCTTAGTATTGAATTAGAATTAAGTTTCTTTATACTTTCATTTGAATAAGGCCTAAAATCAGAAATAATATTAAGTTTATTATATAGATTAAAATTTAACTAACCTACATATAAAATAGATTACATTTATCTTCGTTTAGCAATGACCAATTCTGTCCACTGAGTAAAGACAGGGAAACTTTTTTTAGTATAACTTTTTAGTATGAACATATTCGATTTTACTTAATGTAGTGCTTTGTGTTAGTAAACTGTAAGAAAAAAGTTCATGTTTTTAATTACTGAAATATGCTTATAAATAAAAAAATTAAATGACAGAAATTTTGACAGATTTTATTGCTTATCTTTAGTCAGCAAGTCAAACAAGTACTGGATTTTTGTTTTTTGATGCTCTATGCCAAACCTAAGGCCATGTATTATTTACAGGTAAGACCTTGGTACATGTAATTTAAACTAAAGGCATTCTTTTCTTCCTCCCTCTGTTCATTCCTTTGTCATTGTATTCCTCTACCTTACTTTGTACTTAGAATATAAAAAGTATTGATTATATTAAAATGCCAAAGGAAGCTTAAAATTGGGTATATATTCATCCACAAAGAAAATCTCAAATTAGGAAAAAATAAGAGTTGTACTGCCTACATTTCTCTGCCCACAAGTTTATTAGACTCAACAAATATATTTTAAGCACTTATTTTTTGTCAGGCATGGTGTTGAGTTCTGGAGTAACAGTGGAGAAAAAGGTAGGCAACCACCTTTATAAGTTTACATTCTAGTACAGGGGACAGTAACAAAAATTAATAAAATATTAATAGATTGGTATTAATGCTATGAAAAAAATACATAGAATGCTGTGGTAGGCTGAATAGTATCCCTCCCCCCAAGATGTCCATGTCCTAATAGCCAGAACCTGTGAATGTTACCTTCTGTGGCAAAAACGACTTTGCAGATTTGATTAAATTAAGGATCTTGAGATGGGATTATTATCGTGGATTATCTAGGGATACCCAGTGTAATCACAGGGAGAGACAGATAGGGCAAAGGAGACAAAAGATGATGTAAGCTGAGAGAGATTTGAAGATGCTACCCTGCTGGCTTTGAAGATGAAAGGAGCCATGAGCCAGGGAATGCAGAAGGCCTCTAGAGACCAGAAAAGGCAAGGAAACGGATTCTCCACTAGAGCCTCCAGAGGGAGCATGACCTTACTGACACCTTGGTCTTGGCCCAGTGAAACTATTTTGGACTTCTGACCTCCAGGACTGTAAGAGAATAAATCTGTGTTGTTTCAAGTCGTGAAGTCTGTGGTAATTTGTTACAGCAACAACTGGGAACTAATACAGTTGCTACGATAAAGAATAACAGGAATGACCTACTCTATAAAGAAGGCTTTTCTGAGGAGGTGACATGTAAACTGAGATTTATGGAGTGAAAAAGAGAAGAGTTGGATGATGAGAAAGCAAGTGCAAAAGTTTTATAGTAATAAAGAACATCTAGGAACTTGAAAATTAAGATCAGTGTAACAAGAGACAGGCCTGAGATGAATTTGGAAAGACAAAGGTCATGCTTTGTGGGCCAAAGTAAGTAGATTTGATCTTAAGCCAAGTGCTAGAGATGCCGTTGAAGTGCAGCATGTTTTAATTTAATAAATAACAGGAATCAAAAACATCCATCTATTACAAGGAAATTTTTGAAAACTCATTTAAAAAAAAGCAATTTGTTGAATGAAAGGAAAAATTTAAATGAAATTACCAGCTATTGAAAAATTAATGACATTGAGAATACTACATATCAAAACCTGTTAGACATAGTTAAAATTGTACAAGAAAAATCATAGCTTTAAATACTTAAAAAAAGCAGAAAGATTAAAATTAAATTAACTAACCATACAATTCAAAATGTTAGGAAATATAGTAAAACGAAAGAAAAAGGGAAAAAAGACAAATTTAGAAACTAGAAAACAATAAAAATGTAGTAGCATAGATAAATAAAATCAAACGTCTGTTCTTCGAAAACACTAGTAAAATAGGTAAGTCGCTGGCAAGGCTGACCCAAAGAAAGAGAAAATGTCAAGGAAGTTAGAAATGAGAATGAAAGAAAATATATAACAATATATACAAAGGAATATTTTTAAAGCTACGAAAGAATACCATGATTGCCAATAAAAATGAAAGTCTAGCTGAAATGCAGTTTTGTAGGAAAATATATGTTACCTAATTAACAATTAGAGTAAGAAAATATAAATAAAATATTGAAATTACCAAACATTACCAAATATTTGCCACCAAATAAATTTTGGGTCAGTTCTATCAAATCTGCCACAGATAGCTACTTCCTATGTTATTTAAATTATTGCAGAACATAGAAAAAATATCTAAAGATTACTAGTTCATTCTGCAGGGGAAATGTGTCCCTGATAACATACTTTATAAGGATAATACAAAAACTGTAGATCACTTGTACTAATACAAATGAAAACAAATAAATAAAATTGGCAAATTGAATCTAGCAATGTTTAAAAGAGTAAGGCTTATTACAAGAAAATAAGGATGGTTAAACACTAGAAAATCTATTAATATAATAATAGATCAGAGGTTGACAAGTTTTTTCTGTAAAAGGCCAGATAGTAAATATTCAGGCCTTTTAGACCATGTAGTCTTTGTCACAGCTACTCAACTCTGCTTTTGTAATGCAAAAGCAGACATAGATAATATGTAAATGAATGTGCATAGTCATGATCCAATAAAATGTATTTACAAAGAGAGGCCTGCAGATTTGGTCCTGCAGGCAACATTTAATAGATTGAAGGCAAAAGATTATATCAATAGATACTGAAAGGTATGATAAAATTCAGCATCCATTCCTGATTTAAAAGAGAAAACACTTGGTAAATTCAGGATCGAAATAAATTTCAACACCACCATACAAGGAGTTTATCTGAAACCAAAGGCCAACATCTTGTATAATGGTGAAATATAATGGTGCCATTCCCAGTTAAATTAAAAACCAGACTAGCCTTCATTTTTCTGGAAGTCTCAACCAATTCAATTAAACAGGAGTAGAAATATGTCGGAGAGACAGATGCACATAATTACATTTTCAGATAAAACGTTATCTTCTAAGAAAAACTAAGGGCATTAATGTAAGAGCTTCTAAAGCTAGTAAGTAATTTCATTAATGTCAGATTTAAGATAAATATATAAACATAATGCTTTTGCTATATACCATCAGTAACCAGTGAGAAATATGTTTAAAAAAAAAAAGATGCATTCATAATACAAGCAAAGTTTATAAAATGCCTGGGAATGAATTTAACAAGAAATGTGCAAACGCTTATAAAGAAAACTACCACCTTTCTACTGTTTTTCCCTTTTTAAATTTGATTTTTATTATGAAAAATTCCAAACATACAGAATGTGATATCAGATGAGCTTAAAAATGACCCTTAATTGGGGTGATGTGTCACTATGATCTAAGAAGCGTCTCACAAGGCCAGAAGAATGATACGTGTCACAAAGCCCAATACCACTTTGCAGGCGTGGTGATGAAAGGACACAGAAGTACCTGATGGAACACGTGTCCTACACACGTCCAAAGGGGAAGCTTCTCCAACAATAACTGCTTCACTGAGGACATGAAAGATGTACCTGGTGACCACTCAGGCTGAACTTCAGTGTAAGAGAGGGTGGGCTTCAAACCACACTGAGCACTTCTCCTGGGGGAGCCTCCCAGAAGGTCAGAGTTCTGCCCTGCTGCCTGTGTCCTGGACTTGCACTTAAGACTCCCCGGCTGCTTTACTCCAGAAGTGCAAATAAACCTCTGTGCATCATTCAGTTGTGTGGGCTTTCTGCTGTGGGAGGCCCTATGACCAGGAAAACTCTACCCTGCTGGATAAAACGCAGACAAGGTCAGAAAATAATATTATGAACGTAATGTGCTCGCCACCCGGGAAGCTTTCTATGCCACTGACCCGTAAGCTTCACAAGGACAGAACAATTTTTTGCTGATTCCTAGCAACTCTACTGTTGGCACAGGGCCTAATGCACAGTAAAACCAAAAACCAGTTGCTATCGAGTCGATTCTGACTCATAGCGACCCTACAGGACAGAGCAGAACTGCCGCATAGGATTTCCAAGAAGCGCCTGGTGGATTTGAACTGCCGACCTTTTGGTTAGCAGCCGAACTCTTTTTTTTTAATTTACTTATTTTTTTATTGTACTTTAGGTAACAGTTTAGAGAAGAAATTAGCTTCTCATTAAACAGTACATATATTCTATGACATTGGTTAACAACCCCATGACATGTCCACACTCTCCCTTCTCAACCTTGGGTTCCCTATTACCAGCTTTCCTGTCCCCTCCTGCCTTCCAATCGTTGCCCCTGGGCTGGTGTGCACCTTTGGTCTTGTTTTGTTTTATGGGGCTATTTAATCTTTGGCTGAAGGTGAACCTCAGGAGTGACTTCGTAACTGAGCTCAAAGTGTGTCCAGGGGTCTTACTCTCGGGGTTTCACCAGTCTCTGTCAGGCCAGTAAGTCTGGCCTTTTTTTGTGAGTTAGAATTTTGTTCTACATTTTTCTCCAGCTCTGTCTGAGACCCTCTATTGTGATCCCTGTCAGAGCAGTCAGTGGTGGTAGCCAGGCATCATCTAGTTGTACTGGACTCAGTCTGGAGGAGGCTGTGGTAGTTGTGGTCCATTAGTCGTTTGGACTCATCTTTCCCCTGTATCTTTAGTTTCCTTCATTTTCCCTTGCTCCTGAAGGGGTAAGAACATTGGAGTATCTTAGATGGCTGCTAACAGGCTTTTAAGACCCCAGACACTACTCACCAAAGTAGAATATAGAATATTTTCTTTATAAATTCTGTCATGCCAGTTGAGCTAGATGTTCCCCGAGACCAGGATCCCCACAGCCCTCAGCCCAGGAATTTGGTCCCTCAGGGAATTTGGATATGTCTGTGGAGCTTCCATGACCTTGCATTGTACAAGTTGTGCTGGCTTTGCTAGAATTGTGTACTGTCTTACCCTTCACCAGATTTACCACTTATCCATTGTCTATTTAGTGTCCCCCCCCACCCCTCCCCTCCCTCGTAACCATCAAAGATTATTTCTTTTTGTGTGTAAACCTTTTCATGAATTTTTATAGTAGTGGTCTCATACGATGTTTGTCCTTCTGTGGTTGATTTATTTCACTCAGCATAATGCCCTCCGGATTCATCCATGTTGTGAGATGCTTCACAGATTCATCATTGTTCTTTATCTTTGCATAATACTCCATTGTGTGTATGTACCATACTTTGTTTATCCATTCATCTGTCAGTGGGCATCTAGGTTGTTTCTTTTTGCTGTTGTGAACAATGCTGCAGTGAACATGGGTGTGCCTGTGTCTATTCATGTGATGACTCTTATTTCTCTAGGATATGTTCCTAGCAGTGA